GTTCAGTTCTGTTCTAGTTCAGTTCGGTTCTAGTTCAGTTCTAGTTCAGTTCTAGTTCAGTTCTAGTTCAGTTCTAGTTCAGTTCTAGTTCAGTTCTAGTTCAGTTCTAGTTCAGTTCTAGTTCAGTTCTAGTTCATTTCTAGTTCAGTTCTAGTTCAGTTCTAGTTCAGTTCTAGTTCAGTTCTAGTTCAGTTCTAGTTCATTCAGTTCAGTCTAGTTCAGTTCTAGTTCAGTTCTAGTTCAGTTCTAGTTCAGTTCTAGTTCAGTTCTAGTTCAGTTCTAGTTCAGTTCTAGTTCTAGTTCAGTTCTAGTTCAGTTCTAGTTCAGTTCTAGTTCAGTTCTAGTTCTAGTTCTAGTTCAGTTCTAGTTCAGTTCTAGTTCAGTTCTAGTTCAGTTCTAGTTCAGTTCTAGTTCAGTTCTAGTTCAGTTCTAGTTCGGTTCTAGTTCAGTTCTAGTTCAGTTCTAGTTCAGTTCTAGTTCAGTTCTAGTTCAGTTCTAGTTCAATTCTAGTTCAGTTCTAGTTCAATTCTAGTTCAGTTCTAGTTCAGTTCTAGTTTAGTTCTAGTTCTAGTTCAGTTCTGTTCTAGTTCAGTTCTGTTCTAGTTCAGTTCTGTTCTAGTTCCTGTTCTAGTTCAGTTCTACTTCAGTTCTAGTTCAGTTCTACTTCAGTTCTAGTTCAGTTCTAGTTCAGTTCTAGTTCAGTTCTAGTTCAGTTCTAGTTCAGTTCTAGTTCAGTTCTAGTTCAGTTCTAGTTCAGTTCTAGTTCAGTTCTAGTTTAGTTCTAGTTCAGTTCTAGTTCAGTACTAGTTCAGTTGTAGCTCAGTTCTAGTTCAGTTCTAGTTCAGTTCTAGTTCAGTTCTAGTTTAGTTCTAGTTCTAGTTCAGTTCTAGTTCAGTTCTAGTTCAGTTCTAGTTCAGTTCTAGTTCAGTTCTAGTTCAGTTCTAGTTCAGTTCTAGTTCAGTTCTAGTTTAGTTCTAGTTCTGTTCTAGTTCAGTTCTAGTTCAGTTCTAGTTCAGTTCTAGTTCAGTTCTAGTTCAGTTCTAGTTCAGTTCTAGTTCAGTTCTAGTTCAGTTCTAGTTCAGTTCTAGTTCAGTTCTAGTTCAATTCTAGTTCAATTCTAGTTCAGTTCTAGTTCAGTTCTAGTTCAGTTCTAGTTCAGTTCTAGTTCAGTTCTAGTTCAGTTCTAGTTCAGTTCTAGTTCAGTTCTAGTTCAGTTCTAGTTCAGTTCTAGTTCAGTTCTAGTTCAGTTCTAGTTCAGTTCTAGTTCAATTCTAGTTCAGTTGTAGTTCAGTTCTAGTTCAGTTCTAGTTCAGTTCTAGTTCAGTTCTAGTTCAGTTCTAGTTCAGTTCTAGTTCAATTCTAGTTCAATTCTAGTTCAGTTCTAGTTCAGTTCTAGTTCAGTTCTAGTTCAGTTCTAGTTCAGTTCTAGTTCAGTTCTAGTTCAGTTCTAGTTCAGTTCTAGTTCAGTTCTAGTTCAGTTCTAGTTCAGTTCTAGTTCAGTTCTAGTTCAGTTCTAGTTCAGTTCTAGTTCAGTTCTAGTTCAGTTCTAGTTCAGTTCTAGTTCAGTTCTAGTTCAGTTCTAGTTCAATTCTAGTTCAATTCTAGTTCAGTTCTAGTTCAGTTCTAGTTCAGTTCTAGTTCAGTTCTAGTTCAGTTCTAGTTCAATTCTAGTTCAATTCTAGTTCAGTTCTAGTTCAGTTCTAGTTCAGTTCTAGTTCAGTTCTAGTTCAGTTCTAGTTCAGTTGTAGTTCAGTTGTAGTTCAGTTCTAGTTCAGTAGTAGTTCTAGTTCAGTTCTAGTTCAGTTCTAGTTCAGTTCTAGTTCAGTTCTAGTTCAGTTCTAGTTCAGTTCTAGTTCAGTTCTAGTTCAGTTCTAGTTCAGTTCTAGTTCAGTTCTAGTTCAGTTCTAGTTCAGTTCTAGTTCAGTTCTAGTTCAGTTCTAGTTCAGTTCTAGTTCAAGTTCAGTTCAGTTCAGTTCAGTTCTAGTTCTAGTTCTAGTTCTAGTTCAAGTTCAAGTTCAAGTTCAGTTCTAGTTCAGTTCTAGTTAAATTCTAGTTCAATTCTAGTTCAGTTCTAGTTCTAGTTCAGTTCTAGTTCTAGTTCTAGTTCAGTTGTAGTTCAGTTCTAGTTCAGTTCTAGTTCAGTTCTAGTTCAGTTCTAGATCAGTTCTAGATCAGTTTTTGTACAGTTCTAGTTCAGTTCAGTTCTAGTTCAGTTGCATTTACCCTTTATGTTTTTCCACCATCATTCCACCTAAAAACATTTCCATACGAATTGTGTCAGAATTCCTGTGTCTCAATAAAATACACCCCAATTTGTGTGTAAATTATCAAGAGGCTTCATTTTCCATTTTAATTTATACATTTTAAAGTATGTACTATTTATTTTAACTATTTAAATGGAAATTTCTAGACTATTAGAAAGAATTTACTTAAACACAAGTACGTACACATGTCTGTCTGTCTGATTTTTCTTTTTGCTTTCTTTCACAACTTTTCTTTGACAAATTTATAACACTTTTACACGTATTTTCTTTGCGTAAAAAAATTTAAGGAAATTTAAAGAAAAAAAAAATTGTATAAATTTGCATTCTTTGTACATTACATACATGTTGTTGTAACCTGTTTACATTTCACAAACAATGTCGTACTTGTGTAAAGTTAAATTTACGACAGCTAAGAGTAGAAAGATACTATGAGTAGCTTTATTAGGGTGATCCTGGAATAGAGATTTTAAAGATATTTTAAATACATTATTTAAAAACTGCTTATTAAAAATATTTAAAAACTGAAAATTGATTTTAATGATTTTTCCATGTCTCCTTAAATTAACAGTTCTTCTCTAATGGATCAGCCTTATTACATTTACGGTTAATTTTTTTTAAATCAAAAAGTACCCTAGAACAGACAACAATTATTTAAACCTTCTCGTGCCATTATTACTTTTTCCTTTTTTCGCCTGGATATTTCCAAATGTGTGTCTGTCTGTCTGTCTGTCTCCACTGAATGCCTCTTATTTTGAATAAGTATGTGTTGGCGTTTTAAGTTCATTTTATATTTCAAATTTTTTTACATTGAAAAGCTTGTGTGTTGTTAAAAATAAAATGTTTATAGTTGTTCACGCCATCAAAAGTTAACGTCATTTGAAATATCAGCCAAAACTTTTGTTTAATTTTATTTTACGTTTTTTTTTTTTTTTGCATTATTTCTGCTTCAACACCATACGTACTACTTGTACATTGTTCTTGCCACATACAACTGGAATATACACTTCTTGACGTCAAAGAATGTGAATAATTTTTTTCTTGTTTTTGTTGAATTAAAATATTTTTAAATAGAGACAATTTGCAGTCACATTCAGTTGTTGAAAATATTTTAAATTTGAAAAGAGCGTTTTTTTAATTTAATTTTATTTTTCATACTTGGAGAAAAGTTTAATGAATTGAAGATGTATATTTTAGATCCTGAATAAGTATAAAGGAAAGAAATTTTATTAAATTTTTTTTTTTGGGGAAAATTTAATCTTTAATTAAAAAGCTAATTTTTAGTGAACAAATATTTTTTCGTGAAATATTGTGGTTTTTAGTGAAAAATTACATTTTGGTGAAAATTCCGATTTTTTGTTCTAGTTCAGTTCTAGTTCAGTTCCAGTTCAGTTCCAGTTCAGTTCTAGTTCAGTTCTAGTTCAGTTCTAGTTCAGTTCTAGTTCAGTTCTAGTTCAGTTCTAGTTTCAGTTCTAGTTCAGTTCTAGTTCAGTTAGTTCAGTTCTAGTTCAGTTCTAGTTCAGTTCTAGTTCAGTTCTAGTTCAGTTCTAGTTCAGTTCTAGTTCAGTTCTAGTTCAGTCTAGTTCAGTTCTAGTTCAGTTCTAGTTCAGTTCTAGTTCAGTTCTAGTTCAGTTCTAGTTCAGTTCTAGTTCAGTTCTAGTTCAGTTCTAGTTCAGTTCTAGTTCAGTTCTAGTTCAGTTCTAGTTCAGTTCTAGTTCAGTTCTAGTTCAGTTCTAGTTCAGTTCTAGTTCAGTTCTAGTTCAGTTCTAGTTCAGTTCTAGTTCAGTTCTAGTTCAGTTCTAGTTCAGTTCTAGTTCAGTTCTAGTTCAGTTCTAGTTCAGTTCTAGTTCAGTTCTAGTTCAGTTCTAGTTCAGTTCTAGTTCAGTTCTAGTTCAGTTCTAGTTCAGTTCTAGTTCAGTTCTAGTTCAGTTCTAGTTCAGTTCTAGTTCAGTTCTAGTTCAGTTCTAGTTCAGTTCTAGTTCAGTTCTAGTTCAGTTCTAGTTCAGTTCTAGTTCAGTTCTAGTTCAGTTCTAGTTCAGTTCTAGTTCAGTTCTAGTTCAGTTCTAGTTCAGTTCTAGTTCAGTTCTAGTTCAGTTCTAGTTCAGTTCTAGTTCAGTTCTAGTTCAGTTCTAGTTCAGTTCTAGTTCAGTTCTAGTTCAGTTCTAGTTCAGTTCTAGTTCAGTTCTAGTTCAGTTCTAGTTCAGTTCTAGTTCAGTTCTAGTTCAGTTCTAGTTCAGTTCTAGTTCAGTTCTAGTTCAGTTCTAGTTCAGTTCTAGTTCAGTTCTAGTTCAGTTCTAGTTCAGTTCTAGTTCAGTTCTAGTTCAGTTCTAGTTCAGTTCTAGTTCAGTTCTAGTTCAGTTCTAGTTCAGTTCTAGTTCAGTTCTAGTTCAGTTCTAGTTCAGTTCTAGTTCAGTTCTAGTTCAGTTCTAGTTCAGTTCTAGTTCAGTTCTAGTTCAGTTCTAGTTCAGTTCTAGTTCAGTTCTAGTTCAGTTCTAGTTCAGTTCTAGTTCAGTTCTAGTTCAGTTCTAGTTCAGTTCTAGTTCAGTTCTAGTTCAGTTCTAGTTCAGTTCTAGTTCAGTTCTAGTTCAGTTCTTCTAGTTCAGTTCTAGTTCAGTTCTAGTTCAGTTCTAGTACAGTTCTACTTTTCACACATAATTTTACAAAACATTTTTGCCACAATAATTTTCATTTTTTATAAATATTAACATTAAAATTTTTTTACCAATATTTTATTTCCAGACGCGGCATAACACCACCACATCGTGTTAAATCCATATCGATGGCCACATTCACACAAGACGAAATAGATTTTCTTAAAGCACATGGCAATGATGTCTGTGCCAAAACATGGTTGGGACTGTGGGATCCCAAGCGTGCTGTACATCAGGATCAACGTGAATTGATGATTGACAAATATGAGCGTAAACGTTATTACTTAGAGCCAGCTAGTCCCTTAAAATCTTTAACAAATGCCACAAATCTTAAGACTACAACATCAGCAGCCGCCGCCACAACATCAGCAACATCCTCAGCCTCAGTAACAGCGTCTTCAGCGAATAGTACCCAAAATAATACTAATAATAAGACACACATACAATTAACACCACCAACATCTCAACGTACTACAGCCAATGGTCTGCATAAGACCTCCTCAAGCGCCATTAGTCGTCCTCAACATACAACACCACCACAATCCCAAAATGGCTTTTCAAGTTCTCTGTCAAATCATAACACCGATGCTTTCGGTTTACATAATGGTTTAAATTCATCGGTAGGTTCCATGTCTACTGGCGCTCTTTCCGATACTAGTAGTTGTGCTAGTGCCAATGGCTTTGGAGCAGAGGCAGATTTTGTAGCCGATTTCGGTTCGGCTGATATATTTAATGCCACTGTAGCCAGTTCGCCAGCTTCATCGGTCGGTTCATCGACGACAAATAATAGTTATGCCAAAATACAACCCATGAAAATGTCGGCAGCTGCACATCAACAGTTTATGAATGGTCATAGTGGTGGTGGTGGCGGCAATAATGCCACTACAAACTTACAAAATGGTAACCTCACTAATGGAAATACAGAGAATTTTGCTGATTTTGATCATGCACCTATATATAATGCTGCAGGTGAGCTGAGATTATTCTCCTATATGTTTATAATTTTCTTTGTTTTATCATAATTTGTCCGTGTAATGAGTTTAATTCGTCTTTTTTTAATTGAAACTGTAAGTTTTGTTTTGTGTTTAAGGAAGAAAAGTGGAATGTTTCGAAAAAGCGGCGAGCAGTATTAAAATAATGAGTTATACTTTTCTAATAATATTAAAAATTTGTTAACAAATTGTCGGGTTAGACAAATCCCTGTTCACATTGTTAAAACAGCTTTAAATAAAAATTATTGCTTATAAAATTATAACTTTTTAGGAGGATATATAAATTTGTTTTAAATATATTGCTTAACTGCTACTTTTCGTTATTACTCTCTTAAATAGCAACTATTTCGTTTCCACACTTTTTTTCCTTAAACATTTATTTCATTCAACTATATATATTTTTTACATTATTTTTTATGTTTGAAACTTTCTTGTTAAGTTTCAAGAAAAAATATTTAACCTATATTTTCTTAAAAAAAAAAAACCAAACAGCAAAGTATTTCCTGTCCAATGTTTTTCTTGCCACCATCATGCTTTTTTGCCATTTCAGCAGTTTTTTCTTGCTCCAATCTCTATGACTTGAGTTAATTCTAGCTTTTTTTGTGTGCAGATTTATTTATTTAAGCTGTTAAACAGGATTTATGACATAATTCTTTTTTTAGTTTTTTTTTTCCTTTCTTCGGCTTATATTTTCCTTACTATTTGCTTGATTTATATCTTCTTATAGTAGTTGAACAGGAAAAAATATATCAATTTAAAATAATCCCCTTTTTCGAAGTTGACCACTACTACTTATAATATTATGCAATTTGTGTTTAAAATTTTTAAAGAAAGGGTTTTTATATTAATATTTTTACATTTAAAGGAATGGAATTATTTTTTTAAAGGAAAATGGAGAAGAGTTTTCTTTTTATGTTTTAACATTAAGATGAAGAATTTGAAATATAGAATTACAAATATTTGCCAGGACTCATTAATATATTGTCTAGATTTTGGACTATAGTCTTGACTCTAGATAGTCTATAGACTGAAATGAACTAGAACTGAACTTGAACTGAACTTGAACTGAACTAGAACAAAACTAGAACTGAACTCGAACTGAACTAGAACTGAACTAGAACTGAACTAGAACTGAACTAGAACTGAACTACAACTAAACTAGAACTGAACTAGAACTGAACTAGAACTGAATTAGAACTGAACTAGAACTGAACTAGAACTGAACTAGAACTGAACTAGAACTGAACTAGAACTGAACTAGAACTGAACTAGAACTGAACTAGAACTGAACTAGAACTGAACTAGAACTGAACTAGAACTGAACTAGAACTGAACTAGAACTGAACTAGAACTGAACTAGAACTGAACTAGAACTGAACTAGAACTGAACTAGAACTGAACTAGAACGAACTAGAACTGAACTAGAACTGAACTAGAACTGAACTAGAACTGAACTAGAACTGAACTAGAACTGAACTAGAACTGAACTAGAACTGAACTAGAACTGAACTAGAACTGAACTAGAACTGAACTAGAACTGAACTAGAACTGAACTAGAACTGAACTAGAACTGAACTAGAACTGAACTAGAACTGAACTAGAACTGAACTAGAACTGAACTAGAACTGAACTAGAACTGAACTAGAACTGAACTATAACTGAACTATAACTGAACTAGAACTGAACTAGAACTGAACTAGAACTGAACTGGAACTGAACTAGAGCTGAACCAGAACTGAACTAGAACTGCACTAGAACTGAACTAGAACTGAACTAGAACTGAACTAAAACCGAACTAGAACTGAACTAGAACTGAACTAGAACTGAACTAGAACTGAACTAGAACTGAACAAGAACTGAACTAGAACTGAACTAGAACTGAACTAGAACTGAACTAGAACTGAACTAGAACTGAACTAGAACTGAACTAGAACTGAACTAGAACTGAACTAGAACTGAACTAGAACTGAACTAGAACTGAACTAGAACTAAACTAGAACTAAACTAGAACGAAACTAGAACTAAACTAGAACTAAACTAGAACTTAACTAGAACTGAACTAGAACTGAAATAGAACTGATCTAGAACTGAACTAAAACTGAACTAGAACTAGAACTGAATTTTAGTCTAGACTAGTATATGGCACAAACTGTAGTCTATATCTCAGAATTCTCTGGACAATTGTCTATAGTCTCGCCTATAGTCCAGACTAAAGTCTATAGTCCAGACTAAAGTCTATAGTCTAGACAATAGTCTATAGACTATGTACTATAGTATAGACTATATTATCGACTTTAAACTATAGTCAGGTTTATATACTATAGTCTGAACTGTACAGCATAATCTGGACAATCCTACTTTGAATTAAATTTTTTTCTAATTATTTGTTTTTTTTAATTAAATAAATGTTCAAATCATTCTTTGTGTTGCGGCATTCGGATGACTGTTTTTGATTCTCAAAGCCTTTTGAGTTTCTAGTTTAATAATTATTTATGCTCTTGATTTTTAATGATTTTACTTATTAGTCATTGAGATATAATAATGCAATTTTTTCTTATCGAAAAAAAAAAAATAAAACTACAAATTATTTACAATTCCAAGTACCTACTTATCTTGTTGATTTATTAAACAAATAATACTTATTCACAAAAATAGTAGGAATTATTGAAAAAGTACTAATTAATAACGATTTTTAGAGAAAAAAGTAATATACATATTGCGTTAAGTAACTGCTGATTTGAGGGCGAAAGTTTAACCAAATTCGTTTTTGTCTTAAAATCTCATCAATTTTAACAATTAATTATCATTATTTTTGTTATAAATACTTTAACATTCTGCCTTTAAGTTTTCTTTTAATAACAATTGTTAAATTTTTTTAATTTAATTTCTTGATATTGTGTTTATGTCCTGTACATACAACAAAACTGTATGTTTCTGATTTTGTTTAACTATCTAAAACTATTCTTTAACAAACATATATTTTTTATAAAAATATCTCAATTTTTTGTTAGCACCATCTACTCTACATGTTGTTCAACTTTGTTTTGTTTTTTTTTATTTTCTTCAAAAATTGGATTTCCACCACAAAATACTAAAAAAATGTTTTTATTCTTTTTTGTATTATTTTCTTTTCTACAACAAAACAAATGTTTTTTCTGCTCTTCTCTACCACAAAAAAAAAAAACACATTTTTATAATATTTATAATGAAAATACAAAACTTTGACACCAACTGCTGCCGGGCTTTACAACATTTACAAACTATTTTTTGTTTTGTTTTTGCCACCAACTAGTAGAAGAACCACCCAATTATCAGTTTGTAAGAAAAAATGCCATACGAAAAAAATCGACTTCCAGCATATCCGGTTCAATAATACGACGAAATGAACGACAATTAAAGGATATACTGGAAATGGATAATAACGAAAATCCAGTAGACTATATCAACTTTAATGAGGATGATGTCTTTGGTGAAACTGCGACAACAAAGACAACAACAACAACAACAAATACCACCAAGTCAGGGGGTTATAGCAACCTCTTTGATGATTTTGATACGCTACTCTCACTGGACACTGCTGACAATAGTCAGCAGACAAATTTCAAAGAATTTGAAAGTGATTATATGAATATAGGTGGAGAACACTTGGCAAATGGTAGTAGTAAATTTACGCCTTTGGCTTTGGCAGCTCATGCTACTGCCATGGCGGTACTGGGTAATCAAAGTCATTTCAATAGTCAACTTCAAACAGCAGAAGTGCCAGCAGCAGCAGCAGCATCAAAACCTCCCTTTACAAACCAATGGGATGTATGGTCTACAGCTAAGGATACAACAAAGACAAGCACAACGGTGGCAACAACAGCACCATGGTTTCCTAACAACAATAATTTAATGCAAGTGCCACCTACACAACAGCAACAGCAATATCTTTATGCTTCGATAGGCAATTATAATTCGGGGAATTTACAACAGCAACTGCAACATCCCCTACCAACACAACAACTACAACAATACTATCCCTCCAGCACATTTTCAACACAATCATTAACACAATCATCAGCAACAAAATTCGAAAATGCCAAAACATCAGCAACAACGTCAACATCCATAATAACAACAACAACAACAACACCAACAACGAGTATGTTAAATAAAAATTCAATAAATTCAACAAATCCGTTTCGTATGCATCTTGATGTAAATGATAATTATAATACAATTAATTATGATAATGATAATTATTTAAACACAACAACAAACAACATTACTCCAACAACATCAACAACAACAACAACTATCAATACTGATTTCAATACAAATTTCAATGATTTTAATTTTGTTTCAAATTCAATTTTATCCTATAATTTTGATATATTTTCAACTACAACAACAACAACAGCAACATCATTAATTTCTTCCTCTTGCATTAACACAATGACTACAACAGCAACAACAACAACAACCGAACCAATTCAAAATGATCATAATAACTATCATTACAACTACAAAAACTATAATAATTATAATCAAAATTCCAAAATTTTCCACCCAAATGATCATGAAATTAATAATAATAATAATGATGATAATGATAATGTGAATATAAATAAAATTACAAAAAATCCTTTTTTAATTCCACAAAACTCGAATTCAAATTTAACAACTGAACTAGTATCAAATGCACCTAAATTTTCCATTTATCAATCACCCACTTCTTCAACTATTACTTTCAATTCGTCCGCAACCTCCTCTACTTCTGTGTCTTTACAAAACAATCCTTTTTATTCTACTGCTCCATCTGAATCTATCATAATTCGTAATTTACCTCACAGTGTTGTTGATGATGATAATGCAAATCTAAATATTCAAAACAATAATAATTACTATAAAACTGAAAACAACAACAACAATTATTATTATTCCTTTGGTTGTAAAGATGTTGCCAACCACAACAACAATAACAATAACAATTCTTGTCCTAGTACAAATCATAATAATTATTTCCAAACAAATTTAAATTCAAATTGCAACTTTAATACGTATTCGTTTAAAACAAATACAAATCTAAATGCAAATCAGAATCCAAATAATTATCAGAATGAAAATGAAAATAACAATAATAATAATAATAGTTGGCGTAAGTTTTGTGTTGTGTTTTTTATAATATTTTTTATTTCGTTTCTTTTTTTCTTTTGTTTTAATTTCGTTGTTGTTACTTTTGTTTGTTGCGTTTGTTCTCTTTTGAAAATGTTTGCTGCTAAATAATTAATTGCCGAATTTTACGTTTTTTGCTGCATATTTTTTAAGTTTGTTGTTTTTATCATTTTTGCTGTTTGCCGAATTGTATAATTATGCTGAATTTGCATGAATTAAATTTGTTTTTTTGTCCACTATTTTATTTAAAAAATTAAACAATAGAAAAATCTCTTTTTTTGTAAACATTAAACGGTTTCTAGACGATATTGGAAACAATAGTCCTTCATATAATCCGACTAAACACCAGACTATTTTACAGACTATAGACATAGCTATATTATAAACTACAGACTAGAAGCTGTAGTCCAGAGTAAAGACAACACTATATTCCAGCTTTTAGACTAAAGACTAGACTAAAGACTAGACTATAGACTAGACTATAGACTAGACTATAGACTAGACTATAGACTAGACTATAGACTAGACTATAGACTAGACTATAGACTAGACTATAGACTAGACTATAGACTAGACTATGGACTAGACTATAGACTAGACGATAGACTAGACGATAGACTAGACTATAGACTAGACTATAGACTAGTCTATAGTCTAGTCTATAGTCTAGTCTATAGTCTAGTAGACTATAGACTAGACTATAGACTAGACTATAGACTAGACTATAGACTAGACTATAGACTAGACTATAGACTAGACTATAGACTAGACTATAGACTAGACTATAGACTAGACTATAGACTAGACTATAGACTAGACTATAGACTAGACTATAGACTAGACTATAGACTAGACTATAGACTAGACTATAGACTAGACTATAGACTAGACTATAGACTAGACTATAGACTAGACTATAGACTAGACTATAGACTAGACTATAGACTAGACTATAGACTAGACTATAGACTAGACTATAGACTAGACTATAGACTAGACTATAGACTAGACTATAGACTAGACTATAGACTAGACTATAGACTAGACTATAGACTAGACTATAGACTAGACTATAGACTAGACTATAGACTAGACTATAGACTAGACTATAGACTAGACTATAGACTATAGACTAGACTATAGACTAGACTATAGACTAGACTATAGACTAGACTATAGACTAGACTATAGACTAGACTATAGACTAGACTATAGACTAGACTATAGACTAGACTATAGACTAGACTATAGACTAGACTATAGACTAGACTATAGACTAGACTATAGACTAGACTATAGACTAGACTATAGACTAGACTATAGACTAGACTATAGACTAGACTATAGACTAGACTATAGACTAGACTATAGACTAGACTATAGACTAGACTATAGACTAGACTATGGACTAGACTATACACTAGACTATAGACTAGACTATG